AGTAAGAGGTATGCAGCATGGCTGTATCCTTTCTCCATATCTACTCAATCTGTACACTGGGGGAAAAAATCATTCAAGAAGCTGGACTACATGAAATACAATGTGACATCAGGTTTGGAGGAAGACTTAACCATGTTAAGTTGATGACATCAACTATGTTAGCAGACGATACAACCTAGCCTGGTGAAAATAAAGACCTGAAACTCTCACTGAAGAAGATCAAAGACTACAGTCACCAATTTATACTATATGTTAAGTCTATTTATTTCAAAAGAAAAATCCTCCAAGTATATCAATGGGCAACATCATGGCAGGTAAAGTAAGAATTGAAATTATCAATGGTTTCATTTTACTTGGATCCACAGTCAACAGCTATAGTATACCGAAGCAGTGAGGAAATCAAAAGATGCAATGCATTGGGAAAATCTGCTTTCAAGGACCTTTTTAAATTCTGAAAAAGCAAGGATGCCTGTTTAAAGACTAAGATGTGCCTAAAGTAAGCCATGGTATTTTAAATTACTTCCTATGCATCTGAATGTTAGACAACAAATGAGAAAAACAGGTGAAGAATTGAGGCCTTTGAATGATTGTGTTGGAAATGAGAATTGAATATATTTTGGACTTTCAAAAGAACAAACATATCTGCTTTGGAAGCAGTGCAGTCAGAGTGCTCCTTTGAGGTAAGGATAGTGAAACTTCATCTCCCGTATATTCAGCATGTTGTCAGGAAGGCCTGGCCCTTGAACAAAGACATCATTCAGGAAAGGCAGAGTGTCAGCGAAAGAGAGGAAGTCTCTTGATACAATGAATTGACACTGTGACTGCAGCAATGACCTTGAGCATGATGTAAATTGGGACAATGGCATAGGATAGGGCTAGGCTCAGATCTGTTGTTCATAGAGTTACTCTGGGTTGTAGCTGACTTCATAGTGCCTAACAATGACAACAACAAACAATATGCTGGGAATGATAAATTAAGGAGAAATGACAACACACTCCTAGTAAAAAAAAATAACATTTCAAGATTGATTCTATAGTACAATGCCGTCAGTAATAGGATAATATCTATACATATAAAATGCTGATGAACGTTTTGTTGTTAGATTTCACTGATTTCAGCATGACTCATAGTGACCCTATGAATGGCAGCTCTGAACTGTCTTATCCTTTGACATCCTTACAGTCTTGAGCCCATTGCTGCAGTCAGTTACATACTTGAACCCATTGCTGCAGTCACTGTGTCAATCCATCTGGCTGGAAGTCTTTCCCTTCTTTCCAAGCATGATGTTTTTCTCTAAGGAATGACATGTTACCTCTCCTAGCAATATGTCTGAAGTAAGACAAAGCATTATCATATTTGCCTCCAAGGAACACTGGAGGATGCACCTTCTCCAAGACATAGTTATTTGTTCTTTTGGCAGTCTATGAGATATTTGATACTCTTATCCAATGCTATAGCTCAAAGGCTTCAGTTCTTCTTGTCATCTTTATTCTCTGCCAAGCTCTCAGATGCATGGCAAGTGATGGAAAAGACGATACCCTGAATCAGGTGCGCCTTAGTCCTCAAACTGACATCACTGCTCCTCAGGAAGCTGGAGAAGTACCTGACTGTAGACTTTCCAAGTAAAATGCCTCTCCTAATCTTCTGACTGCTAATACCAAGTGAACTGACTGTGTATCCAAGTAAGATGAAGTTGTTGACAGTTTTAATCTTTTTTTCCCTCTGCCTCTATCATAATGTTGCCTATTGGTCTAGTTTTTATTTTCTCACCACTGAGAAGGTAATACAATTATTGTTCACATTTATGCACCAACTACTAATGCTGAAGTTAAAGACACTGAAGATGTCTTCCCATTTTTACTGTTTGAAATCAATGAAATATTCAAGCAAGATGCTTTGATATGATTGATGATTTGAATAAGAAATACACATAGAAGGATTCATAGTGGAAAAAATACAGTCTTCATGATAGAAACCATTTCAGCAATTACGAGAGAGAATTTTGAAAAACCAATCACTTCTTCATTGCAACTATTTTTCTCCCCAACACCATAAATGGTAACTAGATGAACTTCACCAGATGGAATACACAGAAATGAAATTGAATACATCTGTGGCAGGAGGTGATGTTGAAGTTAAATCACATCAGTTACAACAAGACCAGGGGTAACAGTAAAATAGTAAAATAGACCAGTAATCGTTCATTTGCAAGCTGAAATTGAAGCTAAAATTATATATATATATATATATATATAATCTGTGAGAGCCAAAATATGACATGAATTTAGACAAGAATTTATTTCACACATTGAACATATGATAAAGGACCAGAAAATCTTTGCAAGTCATACCTGAAGAGAGGAAAATGTCATTAAAAAGAAAGAAAAGAGGAAAATTGTTGTCAGAAGGAAAAAAAAACCCACAAAAAACAAACCTCACAACAAACTTGGATGTTTCTTCTAGAATGTAGCTATGTGATGGAGTAAATAAGATGAAATGAAGATTTCACAGGGCAGTTCAAGAACAACAAATAAAATATTATAATGAAAAGTGCAAAAATCTGATGTTAAAAACCCAGAAGAAAAAGTCACTTTCGGCATTTTTCAAGCTGAAAGAAATGAAAGGGGGAAAATTCAAGCCTCAAGTTGCAATACAATGGTTTTGAATTGTTGTGTTTGTGAAGATTATAGAATATATCATAGAATGACAAAGAACAAAGAAATCTGTGTAGATGATGTGCAGTCAAGAGTGCTTCTTAGAGGCAAGGATGGCGAGAGGCACATATTTTCACCATGTTGTTGGAAGGGACCACTATGTATAAAAAGAGATCTGCTTAGAAAGGCAGCGTGTCAAAGATGGAGCCAAAGCCTCTCGATGGGATGGACTGATAAAGTGACTACAACAGTTGGCATGAACCCTACAGAGAATGTAATGACGGATAATGGAGGCTGTAGGATTCAGCAAAATTTTGACCTGTTGAATAGAAGGTTGTGATGAGCTAAGGTTGACTCAATGGTACCTAACAAAACCAACAATGGATAAAATATGGAATGATAAAATATCAAAAGAAGATGGAAAAAATACAAAGTCACTGCTCTGAAAAACCTGATTGATATTCAACCATTTCAGCAAGAAGAGTACAATCAAGAATTGATGGTATTAAAGGAAGAAGTCCAAGCTGTACTGATACCGGCATAAAATGAGAGAATTTTCCAAATTCCAATGAAGATGTTTCAACAAACAGATGCACTGCTAGCAGGTCTCACTCTTCGATGCCAAGTAATTTGGAAGATGGTTACATGGTCAACCAAATGAAATGATCCATGTTTATGCCCACTGCAAAATCGGGTGATTCAACAGAACGGTAAAATTATTGAACTAGCTGCTCTGGATGTGATCACCAATTTGTGTCCAGAAATCAAGAGGACAACACTTCAGCATCACAGCAACCCCAAGTTACCTCAGTACAGCAAACTGACAGACTGGTGCTGTACCACTTAATATAATGTTCTTCCCAAACACAATTAACACCAGACCCAAGGGCCATGCTCAGCTAACTTTTAAATACAGAAGCCCACCCAAGAGGTCCTGACTGACTTAAACAAGAGGCTTCCAGCCCACAGCTAATTGTTAGCTAAATCAGTAAATCCAATCTACTCACACATGATTGTGAATGAAATGAAAAACAACCAGTTTACATCCAACTTTCAAATAAAACAAGAGAATTTAGCAGGCCTTAATCCACTTGAATATTAAGGGATTAAAGTTACATCTAAATCTAGTAGGACTTCTTTACTTGATTTTAGCCAAAAGGTTGAACAGCCACTGCACTTCTTAAGACACTCAATATGTATTGACAATATGACTAAAATGGTCCAAAGACAGCTATGGAGTACAGCAGACATTAAGAGGATCTCTCTCTCTCTTTCCCTCTTACACACACATTGCCATTGAGTCAGAAGTGACTCACAGTTAACCCTCTATTTGGTTTTCAGAAGCTATAAAATGGCACAAGAGGAGAATGCCTATCTTCCTCCTCGAGAGTAGCTGGTGGATTTGAACCAACAGACTTTTGAGTTAGTTGCACAACCATATACCCACTAGGTTACCGGAGCATCCTTCACTGAGAGTCAAAAGGATCAAATTTTTCTTAGTATCAGTTCAAGAGCCAATAAATGGAGTGAAAGCCATATCAAAAAATAAAACCAGAGTTCATTTTTTTTAAACCCAAAATAAAAATTTCTGGAGTGATTAACCTAATAAAATTTTGAGAAGAAAATACCACTATCACCAACACTGGGAAGCTTCAGAACAGCATCAGGATCCACTTAAACTCACTGGCTTAAAAAAATCAGTCAACATTTAGTAGATGCCCATATGTACCAAATACTGGAAATTAAAACGCTGAAAGGCTATTTTTCCCTGGATTTTGAGATATTCACCACATAATCAGACAGATGATATGTAGTCAACATGTAATTACAATAAGCTAAGTCTATAATGAAAGTAGCTACAAAGTGTAAGGTATACTAGGAGAAAGACATTTTCTAGCCTTCCAAAAGTGAAGGAAAAACCCAAACACTTGGGGAATGAGAACTCATGTATTAGTTCAAAGTCAGTGCCTACTATCAGAATCGCAATAGAAGTATCATATTCTCTCATCTGCCTTTATGACTCTGATAAAGCACTAAATAATTATCTTTTATAGGGTAAGATTATTAATGCTCCCATGATGAGCTAGGTGATAGGTTAGCTTCTCTCACCTTTTACATATACACAAAGGCAGAGCAATAAAAGTCTTAGACTATAAAGCCATTCGAATACACCAATGGAGGAAAGAGTCAGGAGCTGAGCATATCTGACAATGTGTTCTATATCACAGAGTTGGAAAGTACCTACTTCAACTCCTTCACATGTATGAGGATGTGTTCCTGAATTAAAGTGGCTCTCCATGCTTGGAGAAGTCCTTGGCACAGGATACTGGAGATAATCTCCCTACCTGACATCTGCAGGGTCTTCTGTCACGAGAACATCCGTCTTACAGCTGGCCAGAGGGTTGATAGACAGCTCCACAGGCGGGACCACAAAGCTTTTGCTGACAGGAAGCCAGAGTCCTTGGCCCAAGCTGAAAGTAGACCTGCAATGTAAGAGTTTCCATTGGGGGACTCCCTGGGAAGAAAAAAAAAAAAGAAAGAGGGGCCCCCCTCCCATCCATTCCAGGACCTTTTCTCATTTCCCTGTCCAACAAAATCACCTTCATTCTTCATGGCAAAATTCTGAAGAACTTTGCAAAAACTTAAACAAGCATTTCTTAGATTTACTAATCATCTAGCTGATACATTCATTTTCTTTTCCTAAGTGGGCGTCCCAGCTCTCTAGTAAACACTAGACTATGTAAAGACAGGGGCTATTTCAGCTCAGTCTTCCCTGGTGTTTCATAAGTGCCTGTTAAGTCAGCTTTTTAGAATAAAGGTTAATCAGTTTCAAATAAGATCCAGCTTTTCTCAGCTTTGTCACTTAATTTGTTGTACATCCTATTTACTTAAGCATTAGTTTCATAAATATGTCACAGAGGTGGTAGGAAGAGGATCTGTGACTACAAAATAGTTTTAGAACATTTGACCAACTAATCAGTAAGTAGCTTCTCCCCTGGTTAAAGAAGCCAAGTTAATAAGACTAGATGATTGAGAAATGAGAATGAGTTTCCCATAGCAACCGGAGGCATAATGTTTTGTTCGTGCCACTGAGCCTTCTCCTGTACTCAGCGCAGTCTAAAGGCCCACAGATGTAATAAGCTGGACCCATTATCACGTCTCCATATTAGATTCTTCTCTATCCCCAGTATTAGCCCCAATAGCACGGTAAACTCACCTGAGAATCTTCTCAGGGGCTTGCTCCCCTGTCACAAGATCATAGCCCCTCTCAAGGGTTGTGTATGGCCAAGGTCTGTAGAAAGAAAAGGAAGACAAGAAGGGATGCTATTAATCAGAAGCAGATGATTTTTATATGTGGAGACTGCGTACAGATAGATTTACAACAAACCAACAATCAGAGGTAATTAAAAGGTCACCTTATTTAGATAAAAAATAGGAGGTCTCCCTCTTAGAGACGCATTTAGAAATCGTGTCCACTCTGAAAGCTCACAGTTCCATTTTGAAACCTATGTATGATTCGTTATATCTGGAAGGGTGGCACGAACTTCAGCCTCAATCTCCAGAAGATCCATTACTCATGAACCTGCAGTCCTAACAGGTGCTTTGGTGGGAAAGTACGGATCACTCCTTGCTGAGTTTTGCAATACAATAAAACAGCTCTTTCACAGAACAACACAACACAACAAACATAAAAAACAACACGACAAAACAACATTTTCACAGAAAGAGCTCTGTTCATGCAGAGAACAGAAGAAGTGGAATTGGGCCTTCCACAGTCCTTGTCTTGATGTCCTTTGCCACTTACCCTTCACTCTGTCCCCAGTCACTGCGCACACAAAGATGTTTATGCATGGGGTCAGGTGCAAATCCTTCATGGCAGCTGCATTCTCCTGTAAAAGAATGAAGAAAAGGCTCTTGTGAAATGCTTCCATCTTGGATCAGAATTCTCCTTGGTTTCCTAGGAAAAAGAGTAAGCTGTCTAATTTTGAAGTTGTTGTTGTTGATTGCTGTCAAGTTGAGCATGACTTATAGTGACCCTATGAACAAAAGACCTGAAGCCTTTTTATTACTGTCTTCGTTTCTTAAAGTTCATAGTTTTCAGGGAAGTGTTGCTTAGGAAGTGGACATCGCTCCTGCTGTGGAAAAGGGGTATTTGTGTCCACTTGTCATTGTGGGTCATAAGAGTGCATTCATTTGTTTATGTATTTATTCAATAACCAGAGGACACATGTTACACCACACATGACGCTAAATACTGGGGATACAGAGATCAAAGGGACAGCTCAGGCCCTGGGGTGCTCACATGCAATGAGAGAAACAGGAAAGAAGTTGTCATATGGCCACAAATGGAGGTCTAGTTTTTTAAAAAATATTTTATTATGATAACTTACATTTACACTAAAACAATAACCAACAAATCAAATTCTCTCTGCCTGAATAAACAAGTTTCATTTATTCATAAGCCCGCCATCAAACTGCAGCTCATTTAAGAAGTCTTTTTTTTTCCATTCTGGAAAATTATTTTTGCCCCCAGTCTCTTGGTTTTATGTAACTTTTATTATTGTTTACTTTAAATAGCTTTTTCTTTTCTTTCTTTCTTTCCCCCTTCCTCCCCATGCTTGTTTTTCCTTCTTTCTTCTCTTCCTCTCCTCTCTTCCTCCCTCCTTTCCTCCCTTTTCCTTGATGCTCTCCATCCATGCACTCATCGATCCATGCCTCCTCATCCATTTATTTCATTACCATTTTGTTACTGTTGTACATTTCTGGCCACTATTCTTATACCTGGCTGCACAAGAGCTTGTTAGACTCCCATGCAACTTTAAGTATAGTATCCTACTGCTCAAACTCATTTCATTTGGCTGATACATAAGCCATTTGCTAGATTAGCTTCAGAGCTAATACTGTGAAAATGTTAGACGAGCTCTGTCTTACCTCCTTTCTCTGATCAGTAACAGCAATCCTGCAATAGCCATTCAATGTACTCTGATTCACAGTGATATTACAGGACAGAACTACTCCACAGAGTTTATCTGGTATAAATCCTGCAGTACAACTACTTCATTCTTCTACAGAGCAGCTGGTTGACTTGAACTACCAACCTTTCTTTTAATGTCCCAAGTTTAACCCACTTTGCCATCAGGCTTTTTTTTTTTTTTTTTAATTTGAGGGCTTCCCCTCTGCTCACCCATGGGAAGGCTGCAAACTCTTGGGATGATCAGTTGCTAGTTTTCATTCACATTGACTTCAGATTTTTAAAAGTGGTGACAGGCACACAGGTAACCAGTGCTTGTTACCCAGAGCTTTTCTGGACAATTGTTCACAACTATGGTATGGGATATTCCTTTTTCCTTTGGTACAGAGAGCGCTGGGTCAATGTGTATGTTTGGTGTTCCCATCTCCTTCGTTGAGAGGCTCTGGGTTTCTGAGTAACTGAGAAGCACACTCCTGGAAGCCCACTCCCTTGCTGTCCTTGTGGGTGCCGACTGTGCTCTCATTGGTCACCACTCTGCTAAAAGCCGCATAGCTCTACTTCTTCTCACTGCCCTCTTTGCCAAAGCCATGGTGCCAAGACCAGGTCAGAAGAGAAGAGCACAAAGGAATTTGGTAGAGACTATTTTTTTGAAGCAGATAGTTCTTGATTTTCCTAAAATGTGTTTGTATCATGTCCAGAGATGATTCAGTAAAACACATATTTCACAAAAATAACTTGGAACTGCTACATCACACCAGTGGAATGTGGTTTTCCATGAGGGTAAAGTATATACAAGTTTTGCCTAAGACTGAGTTTACCTTGGGAACTTTGCTGGTAGAGCAAGTCATAGTAATCCTGTTCTGTGGAACACACCTTGGGAAAGTACATAGGAGATTCCCTTGCTGTTCCCACTGCCTAAGGAAGAGCAGACACTTACTATATTTGAGTTAAATAGGTATGAATAATTATCTGCTAAAACAATGATGCATTTCCAGACTATTGATATTGAATTGCCTTCTTCTCCATTTTCGGACGCCTGTACTCACATACTCAGAGACATGATTCGGAGTGGTCTTGACCCAAAGTTTTCCAACCATGTTCCATGTGTTCCAGTGAAGGAGGTTTAGGGACCTTGAAAATGTAGATTTTAATTTCCTTTAATATCTTTAAAGATAAAAAAGGACAGATACTCTGGTTCACATGTCACAACGTTGCAGAGCATGATCATGTTAGCATGGGTTACTAGGTGAACTCGCATTGTGCACGCTTCAGAGAAAACAAACAAAAATTAATCACTTCTATCATCTGTTCAAACAAGGAGAATACTGGGACTGTCAGCCAAGGTGCTAACAAGCTCATGCCAGCAACTACATATTTTGTGAACTGGATTTTTTTCTCCCACAACATCGTCTAACCAAAACAAAACATAGTGGGGAAAACTATACTATAGTAAAGGGACGTTCAACAACTATTACCTGTAACTCCTGATTTTAACAAGTGGCCCAGTTTTTTGGAGGCGCTGTGCTGCTAAGCCAAAGGGGGTAATTCTGTGGCAATTCAAATCCATAATTAGCTCTAAGAGAGAAACATGGGCAGTCTACTCCCATGTCACTTATAGACTCTGAAAAATCAATGCAAGGCCATCTATGAGTTGGTTCCAACTTTTTGACAATGAATTTGAGAATGTTTTTGCTGTTCATGAAAGACTTCCTGAGGGTACACATTGTTTACATGCTAGGTTACAACAGAAAATTCAGAGGTTCAAGCCTAACCACAAGCACCTTAGATGAAAGGTCTGGTAACTTGTTCCTGAAAAATTGTTTTTGTTAAGGGGTGTCTGGTGCTGTCCAGCTGACTGCATAGTGACTCTATGAACAGCAGATGGGAACTTCCAAAATCTGTGTCATCTTCACAATCTCCAACAGGCTCAAGACCATGTCTGGAATCACTGTGTCAGTCTATTTCTCTGAGAGTCTTACTAGCCTTTTCCAAGTATGATGTTGGGATTTTTTCCCCCAAGGGGGGGAAAATGGCCCTGCTGACAACATGTCCACAGTATGTGTGATGAAATTGCACCATCCTTGCCTCAACTAGCAGCCTGACTGCAATTCTTCTAAAGCATATTTGCTTATTCTTTCGATATTATATTCAATAGTGTTAGTCACCACAACAACTAAAATGCATTAATTATTCTTCAGTCTTCCTTATTCATTGCTCAATTTTCACATTATTATGAAGCAATGGGAAATATCATAACATATCATGGCTAGACACACTTTTGTCTTTAAACTGGCATCCTTGAACTTTAGGACTTTAACACATTGCCGCAAATGATGGCAAAATGTGTTTCTAAGCACGGTCGTCAATTTAAAAGTGTGCAGCAACTTGCTAAAGAGGTCCTTGACAGAAGAGTTCCACTTTGTAATACATCTTTAGATTTCTTGACTGCTGCTACTAGAGATGTTGATTGTGGGTCCAAGTAAAAGAAAATTCTTTGACAACTTATATCTTTTCTTCATTTATCATGATGTTCTCTATTGGTACAGTTGTTGTGGGGGTTGTTTTCTTGATATTGAGATATAATGCACAATGAAGGGTATCTCTGATCTTCTTCAGTATGTGCTTCAAGTCATCTACACTTTGTGCAAGCAAGTTTGTGTCCTCTGCATACTGCATATTGTTGATGAGCTTTGTCCATTTCTGATACCCATCCTCCTTAATATAGTCCAGTGTCTAAAAAAATTTACTCAGCTCACTAATTGAATGGGTATGGAAAAGGGATACAAGCCTCACACAACTTTCCTTATTTTAATCCATGTTCAGTTCAAATAAATACTTCTTGGTCTATGTACAGGTTTCATGTGAGCATAATTAATTACTCCAAAATTCTACTCTTCTCAATGTTCTCCATAATTTATTGTGATCCACACAGTCAAATGCCTTATATAGTCAATAAAAGTCACCTAAACATCTTTATGGTGCTCTCTGCTTTCAGCTAAGATCTCTCTGATATCATTAAGGATATTCCTTGTGTCACAGCCTTTTTCAAATCCAGTTTGATTTTTAAAAAATAATCTTGTGTCAATATATATGACACTAGCTATTCCTTAATAATCTTCAGCAAAACTTTATGTGTGTGTGTGACACTAATGATATTGTGGATAATTTATGGATTCCGTTGGAGTACCTCTTTTTTTTAATGGACTTAAATCTTAGCCATTGAAAACTCTATGGAGCTATTATACTCTGACATACAACATCACTAGAAATTGGAATCAAGTCAATGGCAACTGGTAGAGGTTCTGATATTTTTCAAATGACCTTAGTGTTTTCACTAATTAACTGTAAATGGTTTATGTCTTAATGTATACAAATCATTTTGAATGTTAATTAAGGAAAAGAAGCGAAACAAAGCCACAACTCTAATCTGCTTATATATTAAGCATTTCCAGTTTGTCTTTGTACCCTTAGCATTTAACAGGTTTCTGGAAAAAAATCACAGGCTTCATAAATACTGGGTCAATGGAAAGTGCAGTAAGACAGAGTGTGGAGTAAACAATAAGCAAAAGACTGCATTCAGTGTATTCAGAATAAGACTGTTAAGAGGCAGGAGATGGAAAGAGAGAAGAAAAAAGAAGAGAAATATGATGCTAGTGAGTATATAACTTTACTCTTGATTGGATTGGAGCTTTCTGTGATTCTCTTCCCTCACATCTTGCCCAGGATCTTTCACAGGAGTATTGTGGAAATAAATATGTGTAATCTCATTAATTGATTGTTGCCAGAGATAAAGGGATGAAGAGAAAGGACTGAGATCCTTGAGGTTTTGATGGAAATAATTTACCAAATGGGGGAGGCTGTGAGAGTCACTAAGTATGTGCTAAAGTACAAGAGTCCCTTCATGAAATATTCACCACT